GCAGTGTCCTAACTGCTACCAGATCTGCAACTTTTATGGCCTTAGACTAACAACAGTGCCCTGAGCAAGGGACAATAAGATCTATCAGGCACGCAAAAAATTGCCTGTCCATGCTGTTGCACTGAGTGAGGGAAGGGAGGAGGAGCAAATGACACAAGAAAATAAAAAAAAATCCCAGAGACAGAACTAGTGGGTGGTTTTAATTCCAGCAAAAAATAAAATAAAAGTTGCCTTTTACAAGGAAGATGTCAGACTTAAAGGTCATATGGCTGGATCTCTGAATACACACAGACTGAACACACTTGCTCCTTCACCCAAATGGGAAATGTTTGTTTTTCAAGCCAGGCTGTTTTATATCAGTATGTGTAATAGTCAAAGTGTCACAACAATTGCTAATGATTTTTTTTTTCCTCTCTCTCTTCTTGGTGAGTTATCAAGGCTTCCAGCAAAAAATGGTCAAAACATTGCTATCGGTTTTCAATCATTAGCAAACATTTAGAATAATCCTATCAAAAATAAAACCTTAAAATAAAAATAAAAACTAAAGAGGCACCTGGGTGGCTCAGTTGGTTGAGCATCTGACTCTTGATCTCAGCTCAGGTCCTGATCTCAGGGTTGTGAGTTTGGGCCCCATGTTGGGCTCTACACTGGGTTGGAGCCTACTTACAAAAAAATAAAATAAAATAAAAAAATAAAAAACCAGAGAGTGGGAGGATGTTGATACAGAGCTGCCCACTTACACAGAGGCATTTGCCAGGTACAGGGAGATTAAAAAAAAAAAATACATATACACACACAAACAGATACACATCATCCATTATTATAATTTTCTAAGAGAAAGAATATTTTAATGTCAGAAAGTAAAAATGACATAATCTTTAAAAAAAGATTGTATCTGTTTGCCCATCACCACATCACAAGAAACGGCTAAACAGATTTTCACACTGAATGTATGGTTTGGATAACATAGTAGGTTGGCTACCCGGACAAGGGTAGACTGCATTTCCCAGATGCCTTCACTGTTAGGCAGGCCATTGAAGCCAATGTAGCCAATGGAAGATGAGTAGAAGTGACCTACTCCACTTACAGCCTGGTCCCTAAACCTCCCACATATCCTCCTCCATGTTCTTATCCTTCTATGGCTGGACAGTGATGCCCAGGGCAACCTTTAAAGCTAAGTGTTGTCAAAGAGGGAGTCTCTGTCTGCCTGGAACCCTCCCTCAATAACTGTGGGCCATAGGGTACTCACCCCAAACCACTTTGGTCCATCATGTAAGAGAGAAATAAATTTCTATTATGCTTATACCATTACACATTTCGGAATTATTACAGCACTTAGCCTACATATAATTTCAAATATGAGCTATGGATCAATAATAAAAAGACAACCTAGTTTTTTAAAGGACAAAAGATTTAAACAGCTATGTCAAAAGAACATACACTAATGGTCAATAAGCACATGAAAAGATGCTCAGTTCTCACTGGTCATCAGAACAATGCAAATAAGAACCACAGTGAGACATCACTTCATACCCACAAGAATGGCTAAAATTAAAAGATTGACAACACCAAAGTTGACAGAATGTGGAGCAACTGGAACTCTCATACACAGTTGACGGAAGAGTAAAATGGTATAAATGCTTTGGAAAAAGGCTTTAGCAGTTTCTCATAAAATATTCACTTACCCTATGACCCAACAATTCTACTGCAGGTACTTCCTAAGAGAAATGAAAGCATATGTGCACAAAAATATTTAAGACTCTTCATTGCAGCTTTATTCATTAACAGCCAAACAATGGAAATAACCCACATGCCCAGCAACAGGATATAAAATGGTGCTGTATTCATCCAATGGAATACTACTCAGCAATAAAAATAACAGACTACTGATACAAACAACATCATGAATGAAGCTTAAAACATTTTTTCTTTTTTTAATCTTGAAATATTTTTGCTGAATGAAAGAAGTGTTAACACACAAAAGTAAATAAGCCAATGGTTAAAAAGAAATCAAAATGGTGGTTGCCTGGGGCAAGATTGCAAGGGTTGCAGTAAATCACTGGAAAACAGCATGAGGGAACTTTCCAGGGTAACAATAATTGTGTATCTTGATGAGGGAATAGGATTCATAGGTGTATATACTTATCAAAATATCATGCAATAGTACACTTAATATTTAAATATTTCACAGTACATATTACCTTAAACACATAAACACTGAACTCTGTTTTGCATGCCTAGTGTTTAGGGGTGAAGCCTACTGATGTCCACAGTCTACTCTAAAATGTACCCACAAGAAAGGGGGCGGTTAATGGATATACAAAGGGATGGACAAATAAAATAACATGTAATATAAGATACATAGCAAAATGTGGTGAATATATAAGTATACACTGCATGATTCCCTCAACTTTTCTGAATGTTTGAAATTTTCCATAAAAAGCATTGGAAAATTATAAAGGCTATGGGACATATGCAAAATTCCCTTTGGAGGATCAGGGGGAGGAGGTCACCTCAAAGAAATAAGCAGTTTTCACCAAGAGCAGCTAAAAGTGAAGAACAAGACATTAAAGTGACTGCCAGTCAGGACCATGTACACAGTGCACAGACATGCCATAGGCAGAGGAGACAACAGTATTTCAACTATGAGCCCCCCATTATAGATGTGTTCTCATGAGCCAGATGTTTCACACATGGGCGACCATGTAGCGTAAATCGCCACTAGTGTGGAATGATTTAACAACAGTTAATGATTCTCAAAATTAAGAGGCAAGCTAGTCTCAGAACAAAGTGGGGGGGGGTCCTTTAAAAATGAATAAATTGTGCTTTATGAAAAACTCACTACATTGTCCATGTTTTTCTCAGTTCACAGAGTATCATGAAAACTTCAGTGTGAATCAGGATTTAGCAACCGCTAGATATAGAAAGAATCGTGCTCCCCAGCAGCTAAATTCTAATCTTGACTCTGCCACTAACTAGCTGCCTGTCCTTGATAAGACTCTAAGTCTCTCTGGTTCACTTTAGGAACTCATGAAAAACTGAACTACCCTCCTGGCATATAATAAAGGACAAAACAAGAAGAGAGATGTGCCAGGCCCTTAGAGGGGCATGATAACCTTCTCAAGAGCAGGGAATTATAAAGCAATTATAAAGCAGCTAGTTAGTGGCAGAGTCAAGATTAGAACTTAGCTGCTGGGGAGCACGATTCTTTCTATATCTAGCGGTTGCTAAATCCTGATTCACACTGAAGTTTTCATGATACTCTGTGAACTGAGAAAAACATGGACAATGTAGTGAGTTTTTCATAAAGCACAATTTATTCATTTTTAAAGGACCCGCCCCCCACTTTGTTCTGAGACTAGCTTGCCTCTTAATTTTGAGAATCATTAACTGTTGTTAAATCATTACAACATCCATGGGCACTTAGCATTAATACTCCAGTTCATGAATACTAACCCAGTTTTGAGAAAGAGCATTAAGATGAGAAAAAGCATGGCTCTAGCCCTCTCTCTGCCATGGGAAATGGCCAAGTCTCTCAAGACTCTCTGGACCAATATGACAAGGGAAGACTCAGATCAGAAGCACTCCCAACTAATCCAACCTGCTCAAAGATGCTCTCTGAGACTGTGCGCCCCTGGATACTGGCCAGGAATGCCTCACCCACCACCACGGAGCTGAACTCCCTTCTCATCTTTGAAGTTCTTGTTCAGATGTCACGTGCATTGGGAAGCTTTCCAGCCAAGTCCCGTCACTCCCTTGACACTTTACAGATAACTTGTATTAGAGCCCTCACCTCTCACGGACCATGAGAGATGATGGACTCTGAAAAACAAACTGAGGGTTCTAGAGGGGAGGGGGGTAGGGGGATGGGTTAGCCTGGTGATGGGTATTGAGGAGGGCACGTTCTGCATGGAGGACTGGGTGTTATGAACAAACAATGAATCATGGAACACTGCACCAAAAACTAATGATGTAATATATGGTGATTAACATACAATAAAAAATTAAAAAAAATTAAAAAATAAAAATTAAAAAAAAAATAGAGCCCTCACCACGCCGTATTGTAATCATCTGTTTATCTGTGTTGTCTCCCTGACTAGACTTTGAGGTTCTCTACGCTCCAGTTCTTGCCTCACTGGCATTTGTACACCTTGTCTCAGCACAATGACTAGCACAAGCAGGCACTCAAAGAATACGTGTGAATAAACGCATTAACCAATCCCTAATGTCGCTTCTAGCTCTAAAATGTTAGGTATGGTGTTTTTAAATGCAAATGTAATCATGGCCGTAAAATTCTTTATTTCGTCGTTGAATGCCGCGCGAACGGGGTATCTGGTATTGTGACTGCTGTTGGGGATATCGAGATGATAAAGCACGATCTTTGCCCCCACAGCACCCCGCAAATATGGAAGCTTGTGGTTATTGCTGGAGCAAGGTCAAGGCGAGAGCCCCGTTCCCATTTCCCCCCTCACTTCCTTTCTTGCAGCTGTAGCTCTCTGCCTCTTTCCCCCACGAGCCTTCATTTCTCCCTCAAGCTGCGACCTCTGTCCCAGTTGGCAAAATTGCAAAACTCGGAGCCAATCACCCACGCCCTGCGACCAACGACAAAATCTGCAGGCATGCCCCCCAGAACCCTCTCCTCTCCTCCCCGCGAATGGAACAGTCCACCGGGACTGAAAAGCGGCGCCCACCCCGGCCCGTGATCAGTGGTACAGCCCCCCGCAACGCCGCTGCGCAGGCAAAGCCGGGGCCGTTACTTGCCCACGCCCAGCTCTCTGCGCAAACCTTCCGGCTGGCTCGGGGGACGCAGGGTATACCTGCGCGGCCCGCTGCTCCTTCCAGGACTTCATCTGGTCGCTGGCTGGATCCCGGCTATCCGCCATGGTGTGCGACTGGCCTCGCAGAACGTAGCAAGCGACCTCAGCTAACACGTCTCCACCCTCAGCCGACGAACCCGCGCGACTTAAGTAGGCGACTTTAGACTCCGCCAGTCAGCTCCGCCCCTCTGGTCCCGTCCCCCGCGAGGAGACCGCCTCCTGATTGGCCGCTCCAGCGCCAGGCAGGATGGGATTGGACCCAAATATGGGCGGGAGGAGACGGACGAGGCGCTGGGTCCCCTCTGGAGGTAGACGGAACCCCGGGACGGGGAGAGGCCAGAGAGGTGTGTGAAAGGGGAGGAGAGCCCGACCCCCAACCCTGGGATTCATGAACCCAGATCTGGGCCCCGCCTGTGAGGCCCCGACTGTCGCCTCAGGTTATCAGCATCCTTCAGGCTGCCCCGCGACGCGACGGCTGGTGGCCTACAGGTTTTGCTGAGGGAACGCTTAGGCGCTGCTGGGTGGGGCTTTGCCCTCTAAACGCGATCTCAGCTCTTAATAAGTCAGAAATCCTGCCTTGAATTCCTCTGTGCAAGATGAATTTTTGACTTACCCTAATGTTAGTATCGTTTGCAACTGAAGGATTGATGGGAATTTGGAGTAAATGCAAACACTGATGGCGCAGTGAAGTTTTAACCAGTCGTGTTACTCTCAAATGTCACGTTAGTGTTCCTGGACCACAGACCATGTATACAGAAAAACTGCCTTTTTTAAAAAACACGGGAAAATGAAACATTGACAGGTTCTTAATGGTCTTAATAGTGGCAAATCCTTAGGAAGGAAGTTCCCTTTTGGCTGAGCACCTCCCCCTTTTGGAGTGTCTACCGTGTGCTAAATGCTGCTAGATGTTTGATAGACTGTATCAGTTAATCTTTACAACAGCCTCGAGATTCGTGATGAAAAGTTTGGTTATCCCCCACTTTAAATATGAAGAATCTGAGGCTGAAAAGAGGTGGAGGAACTTGTCAAAAGCTTAAAAACCAGCAAAATGTCAGAGCCAAGATCCTCAGTCTTCTGATTTCAGAGCCTGGGCCCTGAACCTCTGTTCTATCCAACCTTTCTAAGAATAAGTATTTTGAAAAATTCTAAGAATTTTGGAACTCTTATGTTTTTAAAGAGCCATGTTGGAAAATTAAATATTTGTAAGCTATTGACTCGTTTGTCATTGTATTCAAATGGACTGAGTGATTCCTCCCCCCCTTCAGGTGCTAGGATTTCTTTTTAAACACCTTAATACACATAAACATACCATAATCTTCAAATTAAGAGTGCTCAATTTTTAAATTTTACTTTTTTCAGTAAAGCTACAAATAATGGGTGGGCATATGACCGTAGAAATTTCAGAAGTTCTTGATTTTACAAAAGCGTGATACCAAGAACCTGTCATAAAAGTTTAACTTCTGCCGTTCATTGAAAAAGCAGCCCCCAAATCAATCTTCAGTGCCCTGTATTTTTCCTTCGTCACACTTACACAACTGTGAAGATGCTGTTGGCTGTGTGATTTGTGTGATGTCTTTTGCTACCCACAACTCAGGAAACTGAGGCATAGGTTAAATAAGTAACTTGTCCAAGATTACACCATTATTAAGGCAGAAAGTCAGGATTCTAGCCCTGACCATCTCCTGAGCTCATGGCTCGGTGAATAAATAAATGTTGAAAAAATCAAATTAATCATTTTCTTCATTGACTAAATTTCAACAAAGTAAACAAAAACTGATGTCATGTGTTAACCTTTGTTCTTTACATGAGCATTGTCCTGTTTATTTTTTTTTTTCTCTGTTTCCTTCAGTGTTGGTTTGGATTCCTGAGGAATTTCCAGTGAAAGAGAAATGGAGAAACAAGACACTTTCAGATCATGTCGTATCTTGTACATTAAAATAAGGTATGTGCTTTCAAGTATGACAATGAATTTATTTTGGCTACATACCTACTATTATATTCATTGACTTTACAACTATCATTTTATCATAGTTTAAGTGAAAACACTTCTAAAAATCAGCCCTAGTTAAAAAATACATTAAATCTATTTGATTCCTACAGGTACTTCCAAGTGATTGGCTCAATAAACAAATTTGGTCCCAGATTTTTATATTTTATTAACATAAACGCATGAGTATTTTCATTGGTTTTGAATAAAATTGTTATTTAGAAAATGCTGTTCTCTGATTTTTCAGAGCCCAGTGAAATAAAATGTACTGGCACAAAACATAATGTTGTGAATCCTGATATCACCAAATCTAAATCCAGGCTTACAAAGTAGGCAATACAATAAATGCTGAAGCGAAAAGTCTGGCCGTGTAACTAGGAACCTTTATTAACAAATTGTCTTTCATCACTTACTTGAAAGAAAAGAATGGAGAGGACGAATTATGTTTTGTTAGATGACAGGTACACAGAGCAGCAGGGGCAGTAACAGAAACCGAGATTGTTCTTTCTGTTCTGATTCCACCCACCCTCTGAGGGGCTGAGCATGTTCCACATATTTTTATTTTATTCTTTCACAGTGACCTGGCAGAGTAACTTGGGGATAGAGAGAGTGGGAAAAAAAAGGAAGAGAGTGTCAAAGAAAAGAGATGTTTTACAATCCAGAATGCCCTGTGAGGGGAGGACGGTGAACTCTACCGCAGCTGTATGTTTCCAACCCACGGTGGGCTAGGCCTGAGCAGACAAGAGAGGGAAGCAGAATTTGCAAAAAGTGCCAGTGGTTTTATATGTGGTAGTGGCATGTACCCTCTACTCTGCCTACTTTGCTTTATCACACCTTACTCCTGCTTTAATAAGAACAATTACTTAAGAGGAGGTAGCCCACATGTCCTTTGGCATCTGGTAGTGGCCATAGTTGGAACTATCCTGAAGGAAAAAAATCCATGTGCTTTTTCTCCCCCAGGCCACGTGTTCCATGTATTGATCTGGGTGTTTGAGAAGAAGGAAACACAGGAATAAGAATTTGGCATTTGTTATTACCGTAACTTCTTTTTTCTCATTTTAAAAGTAATGAATGCCCACTAATGGGGGCTTAGAAATACAAAATAATATGTAAAATAAACAGTTATCCAAGGATGGTAATAAACAGAGATCTTTCTTGCTGATATTTTCTCTCATGTATGTAATGTGTGTGTGTGAGAGAGAGAGAGAAAGAGAGAGACTAATGATCATACAGAACATATAATTGTGTGTGCCTTTTTTTTCAAGTATTAAATCTGTTTAGTAAAAACAATTTCGCTCATACAAAATAACAACAGTCTACACCAATCTGAGTACGGGACACACCATTAGAGACAGGGAGGCACCGCAGGCACTTGGAGCCCTTCCCCAATGCCCAGAGAAGACCCTGGGTGCTCCTTGCCCCTGAGGGAGATGAGAGCTGAAGTATTACTGCCACCCACTACCCCAAAAAGACCATGGCACAGAGCACTTCTCCTCATGTTGCTCATTAATACTGGGTCAGGGCCCTCCCCTCACTGGCGGAGACCCAGGAAGCTGAGTTGCTTGGGGGTGGGTTGGTGCGGGGGATTGAAGTGGCTAATGGGCAAGGAGCAGAGTCGAGACATCTTTGGTGTGAAGACCCCCACCCACACACCCACCTAGGCCACCGTGGAAATTTGCAGGACCGCAAAAGTGGCACTGCCTTTACCCACAAGCTGCTTTTTTTAAAAACTTTCAAAAACATTTCATTTGCCCTGAATTTCATGTGATACAAAAGTATTACATGCTTAAACCTGTCATCCTTCAGGCCAACTTTCCTCAGAGGTAAATAAGAAACAAATCATATTCTGTAGATCATATATGGAAGATTTAGACATGGTATTTGTATAGCTTAGCATTCCAGTTTATGTTGATAAATTTAGTTAATTGTTGGGCGGTACATTACATATTCAAAAGAACTCGATAGACAGCAGATAGCTTAATCCTTGATTAAGGACGAAGCATCTGACAGCTGTTTTTTATTATTTTTTTTAAAGATATACCATTTGTGGGGCGCCTGGGTGGCTCAGCCATTAAGCATCTGCCTTCGGCTCAGGTCGTGATCCGGGGTCCTGGGATCGAGCCCCACGTCCATCCGGCTCCCTGCTCCGCAAGGAGCCTGCTTCTCCCTTTCCCACTCCCCCTGCTTATGTTCCCTCTCTCGCTGTCCCTGTCCATCAAATAAATGAATAAAATCTTTAAAAAGAGAGAGAGAGAGAGAAGATACACCATTTGTAAATTCAAGTTTGGTTAGCCCTTTTTATGTTTAGTCTTTTTGCTCAATCTTTTGAACACTTGCATTTTTTTCATTTTGTAGAGCTTTTGAACTTTGTCTCTCTCATTTTCTCCTCTCAAGATTCTTGTTTCTTAGCAGCACACTTAACTTGTACTTGTTCACTTTTTCTTGTGCTTTTTCAGTTGATGATTAATTTTTCTTTGGAATAGTAATGAAGTCTACACTTTTGCTACGCTCTTCTGGCTAAGGCTGGTCAACTCTGCGGTTTTCTTCACACAAAGCCTGGTCAATGCTACATTGTTCTTCTGGCAATGGCTGGACACCTTGTTCTGCCGACAGAGGCTGCTTAACTTTTTTAAATTGCTTCCTGAGCCTTTCCCCTTCAGCTAATTAGAGATGTTTCAGGTTGTCAGGGCATCCATCTGCGAATAGGGATTCCTATGAGGTTTGAACCTTCTTTTCCTTCCATAGCAACCTCTTGTCATTTAGCTGAATCTTCTGTTTTCTTGAAATGCAGAGCCTGTCAGGAATGCTCCCTCCCAAAATGGTTAGGTCACTACAACTGTGGTTTAAATTTCTTATTCCTTAATCTGATGAGAAACTTCATTGCCATGCATCCCAAAACTCCGTCCACCACCTTGCTGCCAGCCTCTCTGGCACCATGGCACAACAACCATGTCCTATGTCCTGCTTTCTTTGCTTAACCTTGTGGGATGAAATTCTCCCTGAGTCATTAGTCTTTGAAAAAATTTGTGTGTGTGTGTGTGTGTGTGTGTGTGTTTTCATGGTTGCACAGTGTGCAATAAAAAAACTGATCCCTTATTTACACATTCCCTTACTGGAAACACTTAATTTTTTTCTAGTATGAATAACAGTATAGTGAACATCCTTCTTCTGTATTTTTATTTACTTCCTTAGGACCTATTTCTAGAGGTAACTTTTGGTTCAAATCATATCAATATTTGAAGTCTCTTGTGACATATTGTCCATTGTTCTCTACAAAACTTGAGCCAGTTGACACTCATCAACACTGAGAGTGAGGACTGGAAATAAAATTTTAAAGATAGGTAAGTAGTTACATTCTAGATGCCTATACAATGCATATCTTTATTAGGTTGTTCAGAAAGAACAACACCTTTTGTATTATATTGAGCCATTACCACCACCCCCATGGGATTCAGTCCATCTAGTGAACGTCTTCAGTGTCCTATGTGCTCTGCATGCTTGACTTTGGGAACATAGCACTAAAGGAGATGGGTATGGGCAAAAACAAAACAAAACAAAACCAAAAACATACAAATCGCCAGGAAATAACACCATGTGAAGAGTGTTCTGAGAAAGGAAATAAGAGCTGTTGCAGTGGTACCAAAGAAAGTCACCCAACCTGAGCTTGAGAGGTCATGGGAGGCTTCCCCAAGGAAATAATGGCCAAATAAATTAGCCCCACTGTGGCCACAGAAATCTGAAGAGATTTCTTCCATTCTTTCTGGAAAGCCTGACTTCATCAGTGATGGTGTTGTGACACCTTGACTAGAATGAGAAGAGCAAGCGAACATTTGCGGCTGGGGTTCAGCCTTTCTCAAGTTTGCCCAAGCGTGCTGGCCTCTGTATCTGACTCAGACTGGCTTTGGCTCCTGATGTTCATCCACTCTCCTTCCTCATCTTTCCCTCCCTTGCAACGCCTGTGCAAGTCCGTCGTGTGAACTACTGGGATGCTGTGCCTGGCTTGAGTTATGTTCCAGGGCTGCTGTCTTTGAGGTATTTCGATGGTCTCCTTGGTATATGCTGTTAAGTGTTGCATTTGTGCTCGACTCTGGGCTTAAATCTGTATGCAGAAACCAGACTTGGGTTCTTAAACTCTGACAATTCAAAAAAATGACAAAAACCTCATAGATAAATCAACACATTCAATATGGATTGAGACCACACAGTTATGTATCTGTGAAGAAACTAATAGTTGTAAATTGTACATACTGAGTGGAACTGTTGGTTGTAGCGGGGGATGTAGACCCGGAGGGCCGGGACTATCTTTCTCCCCCTCTCTTTCCCATTAACCCAGATCATAGACCAGCAGGGCTTCAAGGGGCAAAATGACATGATGCACAGTAAAAGTCTCAGCTCCAGCATCAGAGCACTTGGGTTTGAATCCCACTATGGCTTCTTACAAACTGAGTCACTTAATCTTTCTAAGCTTCCATTTCTCTCTTGTAAGATAGAGATATTAACACCTTCTAAGCTGCTAAATGAAAAGAACCCCCCAAAAATACCATGACTTAAACAATATAAAAGTTTATTTCTCTCATACAAAACATCTCAGACCTGGACTGCACGGCTGGTTAGGCAGTTCAGCCATCCTCGATATGAGGCTTTCATCTCCGAGTCTGAGGTGTCTGTCCCCCCTCCCTCAGCCATAACTGTATGCCAACCAATGAGAGTAGGACAAAGGAGCAAAGGGAGCATATGCCTGTTCCTTTTTTTTTTTTTTAAAGATTTAATTATTTATTCATGAGAGAGAGAGAAAGAGGCAGAGGGAGAAGCAGGCTCCTAAGGAGCAGGGAGCCCGATGTGGGACTCGATCCCAGGACTCTGAGATCATGACCCGAGCCAAAGGCGGACACTTAACCATCTGAGCCACCCAGGTGCCCTGCCTGTTCCTTTTGAAGGCACAACCTGGAAATGGCACACTTGATTTCTGCTCACATTCCCTTGGCCGGAATTTGGTTACATGGCCATGCCTCACTGTTCAGGAAGCTGGGCGATATAGTCACCAGCTGTGCGACCATGTGCTTGACAAAACTCAGGCATTCTATGATAAAAGAAGAAAGGGAAAATGGAGATTTGTGGTCAACTGGTAGCATCTGCCACACTGACATCATTGGGTTGTTGCAAGGGTCAAGAGAGATGGAGCGCACAGTAGGCCTAGTGACCAGCATTTCCCAGTATTGCTCTTGAGCAACACATGGCTCTTTCATGGACTGCTGGAGCTCTTGAGGAAATACAGCATACTTGGCATCAGGGTGTTGTATTACAGTCCACCCTTATAGAATGTGCTGGAGTGAAGAGACTGCCCCTGGTCACTGCAAGTGTAGCTCCAGGTCCACATAGTGATAAACAAGGACCAGCCACTGTCCTAAACCAAACCTTCCTGTTCCCTACAACCGTCATCTCAAACCTATTTTATTTATTTAATAAGCAGGTATATCATTCCTACAATGTCCCAGGTTCTACTCTAAAAGCATTTCCCAATATTAACCCATGTAATTTTTACAACAACCCCATCAAGTATGAACTCTTAGTATCTTCACTCTACATATGAGGACACTGAGATACAGAAAGATAAAGTAACCTCCCAAAGGCACATAGCTAGTTAGTGGTAGGGCCAGGATTCAAACCAGGCCCCAGAGGTCACATCTCAACTTCGACATGGTCCTGCCTGCCACAAAGCAGGCAGGAATGCAGGAAGATCTGGGGTGAGTGTCCCACATTCTTAGAACACAACTGAAGCATCCTACCATCCTACCTCCTCCTCTCCACCTGCAGACCTGGCTTTCTGGGTAGCACGCTGATGTAAACCAACTGTGAACCCCACATAGGTGAGAAAGACCACAAGAAAATGACATTCCAGAGTGTCTTTGAAAGAAAGAATGAGAAGTAGCTGTGATATAAGAGCATTACAGGCCTAGGGAACCATATGGGATTCAGGGGTAACCAAAGGAGGTGAAAAGGGTACCAGAGGAGATGGGCCTTGTAGGGGCGGTGAGGATGAAAAGGGATGAGGAAGATCCTTAGACATCTCTCCATCCTGACAGCAAAAGGGCAGCAGGAACCTCAGACTTTGGAGATAGTAGAATGAATATTCCCTGAGAAAACATGTCCATTAAAAGACTCAC